GTTCAGACGTGTGCTCTTCCGATCTCCCCAAAACCCCAAAACCCCATAAGCTTTTATATAAATTTAATCATTAGAAGGAGTAAGATTAATCTGACTTTTAAAGATTATAAGGGAATGAATTAAATATTAAATTAGTGTCATCATTTTTTCATTTGAGTCGATCCCTTTGCATTTATCTAGTTTTTAAGTCTAATAGCAGCAAAATAATTCTCAAGCTCGTCCTACTCTTTCATCTTTATATCTTGGGCGTATAGACTCTAATTGTGAAGAGCTTACTCAGTTTGTTCTTGAGCTTCTTCAATACATGTTTCCATCCAGTGTTAGTCGTCACTTGTTGGCTTCATGTTTTTATCCTCACATTCCTGCTTTATATCTCTCCAAATCTCTCCATTCTTCAAGTATGGATAGAGTTGGATTATTTCCATTCTCTGCTTTTCTTGTGGAGTAAGTTCATGCAAATCGAAGCCTACTCTGTAGAATGTACCGAAAATTGTTGCTCTAATATCATAGCTCTTAGCAACTTCATTCATTATTTTGTTAAGATAAGACTCAGAGAAGTTCTTTTAAGAGATTATACCTGCTGCTTCTAGTGCTTATTTAAGCCTAAATGTAAATATCAAAATATATAAAGTTAACTTACCCTTTGGCAGCTTTCGAACCGACTAGAGAGATTGGCTTTTCTATAGGATTTGTAATAATTGACCTTTAGGAAAGTTGAGAGCCCCTTGAAACTCTGTTGCTTTCTCTTAGATTAACCATGGGGGCTTCATCTTTCATCATTAAAGAATTTTCCAATTGGCTTTTATTGCCGACTGAAGCACCTAATGAATTATTCAAGTTTGTTTTTTGTGTGTTGTTTAAGTTTGCATGCTAGTCTCCATATTGCTTTAGTAGGTAAGACTCTCTTGGGAATAATGGTCTTTCGACATTAATTAGCAAGCCATTGTTATGCTCTACTCCGAATCTGATATCTTCTTGCTCATATAACTTTATCAGAAGTTAAGTAGCATTTATTGTGGTCTTAGAGCTGTTCCATTCTACAAAATATTAGAATGACTTGTTATTCTCAAGTATGGTACAAAGACTTGAAAGTGTCAATCTCTTTAAGGAGTATTCGCAGTTCTCAATTAGATCTAGCAGAACGTAAACCCCTTCTATATCAAGGAAATGTAACTCTGATCTTTTATTTCCAAAGACGGCATTATTAAGGCAATCTAGGACAGAAAGCAGGAAGGTACTTGCATTTCCTGATTATTCAACCTCAGCATAAGCCAAATTTTCTTTTATAATCTCAATACCTCCCTTTCTTCTGAATTCTTTTTGATTAGCTCTGCAATCCTTACAAATGTTAGAAGTAATATTAAATGCCATTTCTCTCATGTCTAGTGGATTTTCCTTGGAATTTTAGATGATATCTAAAAGAATATCAATAATTCCCTTATCAGCAAAGTCCTTTTTAAAGTAATCATAAGTAGATGTATTCAAAAGTGCTTTCATACAAGCAATTCTCCTGTCGTAGTCATTAAATGCAGAAAGGAATTAAATCAAAATAACATGCCCGTTGATTTGATGGAAATGCTCTGGAATCAGGGGGAGTAAGCTTGACATGACTGAGAGCCCATGAATTTAAATCTCCTTAAGTTGGGGAGGCTACCATCTGTGAGTGGAGAGGCTAGAGTTATTGGGGTCAACATACATAAGCAATGCTTGCATAAAGTTTCTTTCTATAAGGCACTAATGAGCTTCGTGATTATCTGGATCTCTTACAATATATAGAACACATGTCCACAATAACTTCTTAAATTCAACATCTTCATCTCTTGTAGTGAATAATGGCTTCTCAGTCTTGCTCATTGAAGAACCGTCTCCGATGAAATTTACTTTAGAATTTAACTCATCATGAGTTGAGTAGAATAAAATAGCCTCAAGAAATGTGGAGTCATTTGGAGTTTCTCTTTCTAAGAAGAATTTATGAGATGCCATACTTGTAACAACATAGTTTATTAGAATACATATTTCATTTCTAAGACATTTATCATCAAGTTTGTAACCTTCTTTTAATACTCTCTCGAAAGGTCTTCTAAGGGACAAAACTACTTCTTATTCTCCTGCCATACTCTCAATAGTTTTTTAGCCATCGACCTCAATAAGGTTCCAAATGGCTTCAATTGATATGTGAACAATATAAGATCTAAAGTCTTAAGCCTCGGAAATGATCCTTACGAGATCTTTTAAGACTCCCATTTGTGAAAACTTCTGAGCGTTTGGAACATACAATGCTGAATGGGCAATTGATTCAATAACTGCTACAATAGTATCCTTTGATTTCATATTTTCAGCAAGAATGTTGACCAGTGTTTCTGGCATTTCAGATTGAGAAAGTCCTTTAAGATTCCTATTCCCCTTCTAATAAAGTCTTTATAATGGACTTGTTTCACTTCCATAAATCATCTTATCCTCTAAAGAAGATTAGAAATTAGTTTCCTAATCTTTCAATTCTTATATACCGTAAGATGCTATTGCAGATACAGTATTGGCAATTTCACAACAGATGTTGTCAAGCTGCTAAACAAGCTTGATATCTGCTTCTCCATCTCTGGGTAATTCGTAACGTAATAATGGGCATAAAGAGTTGAAAAGAATAGGTAAATTAGGAACTTGTTTATTCTCATCACTAGCCTTTTCCTTTTCAAATGGTACCTTAAGCACCTCAAGAAGTTATAAGATAGCAGGTACAAGTTCAAACTATAAGAAAATAACTAAGAGAATAGCTTACCCTTCCGTTTTAAATGCCTTGGAAGCTCAATTCAAGAACTCTGGCGACCTAAGGAAGATCCTTGTAGAAAAACCCTTTTCTCTGATCCTCATTAACCATCTCTTTGCATAACTAAATTATTCCTGCTGCATGTCTGTCAGAAAGATTTGCAGTGTGCTTGCTTTCGAATAAATGAATGACTTTTGAGAGATCCATTATTTTCAAAACTTAATTTTATTTTAAATATTTCTTATTCTTTATTATATTCCTCCATTCGGGGTTTTGGGGTTTTGGGGTTTTGGGGAGATCGGA